TTCACTTCCTAATTGGGGCTTTCAAGGAAATTTTAGAGTGACTGCCTCAGACCATGAATTAGTCTTTTCTTACTAAAAGTGCACCCTCCTGGGTTTGGTTGGCAATTATTGGCAGGAAGTAAGGGGAAGATTTACACTTCCTTTCTGTGGCTTCCTAGGGCAATGTTTTCAATCTGACACTTATCACCGGCTCTGGATTTACAGTCATTTTCATAAGTAAAATGGGTAGTTGGTAGAGTAGCAAATTGTTTTCCTTTTGCTATGACAATGAAAACAAATAACAGACAGTATTCTATTAAAGAATGATAACTCAAATTATTGTTAGAGATGCCTTCAAAATGTCAACAGATGAGATTGGGCCATGGGCCAATGATATCCAAGCAGAATATATTTGTTTATTTCTTAGGTGAACTGAATGAGTCTTTAGCCAAAAGAACTAGGGAATTTCCATTTAAAACATTCAGAATGAAGTTAGTATCATCTAAAGTGTGAATACTGAGGACATTTTAAAGTAATTTAAAATTACTGCATAAGCCTTGATGGGCCAAGAGCTCTGAGATCTAAGTATTTCACTTTCAGAGCTATCTCCATCACTTCTGAGCCTGCACAGCATAACAACTCTGTCCAGATCTCCATTTTTTCAACTATAAAAGGAGACCAGGCAATGACAAACATCTTGTTTTGGAATGAGTACCATGTCAAGATAATGTACAAATATGTCTAACACAGTGCCTGGCTCACAGTAAGCATTCAATAAATACCAATTATGGTAAACAAATAAGACTGCTAAAATCTCACTTAAATTTGCTTAGACATCCAATGCAGGGTCATCAATGAAAACTCAATCAATGATTTAAAACTTTATCTACTCATCTATTTGTTTTTGATTTACAGAAAACGAATTCCTAGACTTTTTCACTGAAATTGCCCAGCTACTCCATCATCAACTAGAAATGTTTGGAGAAAACACAGTAATAATTTGTGTTTTTTTCTAACATACACCTACCACCTGCTTCACAGACACCTATAAACTCTACAGAAAATTTATTCTGTGCAAAGTCAGTGGTAACATATGATCAAAAAATAATTCAAATAGGAGCCGGGTATTTGGCTCAGTGGTTCCGCCACCAGCCTCGCAAGTGCAAGGTCCATAGTTCAAGCCCTGGTACCAAAGAAAAAATAATAATAAAATAATTCAAATATCAGGATTAAGAGTTTTCTCTAAAATAAACTATTGCCACACTGGCAATAGCTTTGACAGTGACAGGAAAGATTTTTACTAAAATCTCATCAAGCAGAAAGGTGGCATTAATTAGGTGTTGAATACAGAATCACAATTAACTAAATCAAGGCAAACTCCTACATATTTTGAAAATATTATTATATTTATTGCACCCAGAATGAGTGTAGGCAGCATCCTCTGAAAGAAGGGCCAGGTGGCAAGTCAGCACTTAGCAGGGATTATTCATTCCTGTTGAAGAAGGGAGTATCTGTGCAGGGGAGGGTCCAGGTCACTGGAATTGTTGGTTAATCTAGTATACCAAAGCCGGCACATGGTGGTCCCAAGATGTTTTGTCAGAGGTCATAGATGTGTTAGAGGTATGGATGAGACTAAAATCCAGCTAACATGGAGTCTGGTTCTGTCAACACTGGCCTAGTTCCTACATGGGATCTTCATGTTTCAGATTAACCTACAGCCTAGACATTCAAATTCTGAAATGCCACGTCTGCCCAGTTTGTTTCATTCTCATCATTTAGTCCAATTCTCCTTAGGGCCTCATTTAACTTAAATCCCAATACAACAGAAATGTATGGTATATTTCTAATACCTTCTTCCCCAGCAAAAATAAATAAATAAATAAACTCATCTCACAATGCTATAGAATCTCATCCAAGTCTCAGAATTCTGAGGATTGTATGGAGATTGGATTAGATTAGTTATTGTTCTGTTAGTCAAATACATAAATATGCTATGTCTTCCTACTCCCTAAGGTAGTGATGGTGAACCCTTTAGAGCTTCCAGTGATAACAAACAGCTGGCTATGGCATGCATGACATAGATTTGACACCACTGTCCTAGTGTTATGTGAGGTTTAAGTGAAATTAATTAAGTATTGATTTCATAATTAACTAAATCAAGTACATTCAGAATGGCAAGATGTATTTTAATGGTCTATTTTCTATTTTTAATCTGGATGGGTAAACTATATTATATTGATTCAAGAATATATATGATTTATTTTCTTTCCACAGTATGTTTGCAGATGGGAAATTAGTATCCTTTAATCAAAAGGTTAGTATACAGTAAAATGTTAATAATATTTGCTAACATTTATTAATTTCCAGGTACTCACATGCATATAGTTCTAAGCACTTTATGAATATTTATTTATTCCTCCCAGCAATTCTATGATTATTTAATGTAAATATTGTATCCCCATTATATGGAGGGAAAAGTGAGGCACAAAAAAGTGAACTGCTCAAAGATACTTTCAATAAATTGGTAAACAAGAATTTGGATTGGAGCATTTTAAACTGGAGCCCTTAGTAATAAACTCTATATCAATATTTCAGTGTTTCTCAACCAGGAGTGGTTTTACACTCCCTCTCACCCCTGAGTATATTTGGCAATATGGGAAGATAGTTTCCATCTCATAAGTAAGAGAGGAAAATGCTTGCTACTAGCATATGGTGGGTAGAAATGAGGGATACTTCTAAACATCCTATAATCCACAGACCCCCCCCCCCGCCAACAAATTATCGAGCCCCTTGTCCATAGGGCAAAGGTTGAGAAATGCCTGCTCTACATTATACTGACTCCAGGATCAGTTACCCTTGTTACAAAAATGTGGTTTACAGACCAGCAGCACTGCATTAGTGAGGGGCTTGTTAGAAAAGTTCACCCCAGACCTGGTGGATTCAAATCTGCATTTTTAATAAGGTCCCCAGGTGATTGATCTCTGTTTTGAACTTCAAGAGGCAGTGAATTACTATATACTATTAATGCTACCACCCTGTCATGGGTATTGAAAAGACAAATCCCGTAAACAATTCTAGTCTCCACACACAGAGAAGGGATGTTAGGAAAGGTTCTGGGGTTTGCAGATAGGGAAGAGAGATGGATAGACCTAGCAGTGATGAATACGAGGGACTGGAATTTTCTTTAGTAGTTTCCTCAGATCTAAGAAAGAGAAATAAAAACATTCAAACATCAGCTCTGTCCTCAAGGCCAAGCATGGGAAAAACAGAAGAAGGCCAAGGGCCAAGAAAATATAGGAATAGAGTAGAAGGGATAGAGCTGACACAACTGGGTTATGGGGCCAGATCTAGGGGTGGAAGGTAGAATAACTGTCACAAGCATACAAACCAACTAGAACAGAAAAATTCCTTGCATCTGGATGCCAGCTGTATAGACCGGGAAATGGCCTGTTGAAAAAAGCACAATTACAGGGAAGGCCCACCTGCCCAATAAGATTTATAAGCATTTCCCTGAAATAAGACTTCTAGAACACCTTTTTAACAGCCAATAAGGCAAGAACACCAGCAAAATTAAAGACTCCAACAATATCTTTTAAGAAAAGACTCCCACTCTTTTAAGAAACACACACAATAAAAAAGAGATGCAAAAAGAGCTCCACTCCCAAGTGCCCCACAGAGGTTACCACAAAGTATTTTAGAACCAACACTGTGATACATACTCCATTACACAATTTCACATTTGGAGATTTCATCAAAGCATGCTTCCTTCCCCACAGGCTTTTCAAAGCAATAAGCAAATAACAAACTTTTGTGAGCTTTACCAAATGTTAACTGGGAAGCCCTACTGTTTTTAATTGTACTTGAATAAATGCAGACTAGGATCTATGAGTGCAAATAAAATTCTTTCCTTCTTTTCTCTACCTCCAAATCAGCCTTGCACAGACCATTCCCAAAGGTAAAGGTGAGCTGCAGCAAGACTGAGGCAAATCCTGAAGACCAGTCACTGTGAAAACCAATTCATGATGGAACCAATAATAAAATAGTATTGTTATGGTTATCCAAATAATTTCCCTTTCAATCATTCTCTATCCCTAAATCCCTAACCTGATGCACTAAAACGACAGGATTTAGGGGCTGAATTGGAGTTTAAAAGATATGAGTTCCTCCCACCTGGGGGAGAGAAGATTACAATGAAAATCAGAGAAGAAGCCTCTTAAAAGTTCATGTTCTCTAGGCCCTACCCTAAAGCCTGCCCCATCCCTAGGAATTCAAATTCAGCAGATATCACTTAGGTCCAAGGAATCCATGTCTTTCACAGACATTATATTTTAATGTATGCCAGATTTGGGAAACACTATCAAGTTCAACTCTTCAATTTACAGGTGAAGAATCTTAGAACCAGATAATAATTCATAGTAATGCCAAAGCTAGCATCTTAATCTTCAGGCCTCATTTATTTTTATTACCCAATTCTATTATTTTTTCATTTGATCAACAACACTGTACAGTAGTAAAATATAATGTCCCAGAGCACAAGCCCACCAAATACAAAAGAATCCAGAATTTGGAGCTACTATTTTCTTCACTCTCTATTCTGGCCATTTTAATCTATGTAAAAATAAAATAGTCTCCCCATATTTCTTAACACCAGCCTCCTGACCTTGGCAAAAAAAGAGTAAGAATGCTTCTCAAGCAACAATCTGCAAATTAGCTGTGTTATCAATGGCATTCCATAATTGTCTTTTCTCTCTTTTAATCTTTAACAGTTTTATTGTTCTTGAACTCTGTGGAATCTTCAATTACACCCTTGATAGAAAAATCACATCATTATAACTCAGGAGTATCCATGAGCTGCCTCAGTGATCCTAGTGATTGGCCAATGTCACTTGTTCTAATTGCCTTTTTACCCACATATGTATGTACTTTGTAAGATAAAGTTGATGTTAAGAACACATTAGCTACTTTCTTAGGTATGTTCATTGCATTGGCTGCTGCCACCATGACGATCTGGACTTTGGAGCATGTATTTATTTGACCAGCCATGGGAAACTGTTACAACAGCTGCGATGCAGGAATACCCAAGCCCTGTGAACCCAAGTGTGGTTGGAGTTGATGTGCTGAACAGACATATAAATCCCTCTGGAAAACTACAGAGCCAAAGATTTCTCAGAACAGAGTGGGATGCCTTTCATTATGAAGTATATTATTGATACAGCAAGAACTAAAACATATGTGCAAGAACATTCGGTAGTTGATCCTATAGAGAAAATAATGGAATTTAAATCTTCTAATATTTCACTTATAAATATGGTTTCAGTAGATGAGAGACTTATATACAAACTACATCCTCAAGATCCAGAAAAAACTAGTTTGACTCAGGAAGCCATAATCACAGTGAAAGGAGTCAGCCTCAGCAGTCACCTTGAAGGACTGATGCCAAGTATGATATCTTCAAATGCTAATAAAGACCAAGAAGCAATGGACTGGGTAATATATAAATTAAATGCTGAGACTGAAGAATTGGCCACTTAAGCAATAGGAAGCCTAAGGACACCAATGGTGGTGGCTGCATTTGTAGAGAAATGCATTCTTGATTTTTTCTTTTATTCACTAAGTTTATTGGTACATTTTAAGTATACAATATGATGACTTGATTTTTTTAAAAAAATTTTCATTAGCGTATATTAATTACACAGAATACATCTTTGTGACATTTTCATACATGTACATAATATTCTTTCAGTATATACACCTCATTTTCTTTTATTATTCTTTCCTCTAATACCCTTCCTCTTCTCTGATAGTCTCCCTTCTACTTTCATATCATCTTTTCTCCCTAGACTCCACATATGAAGGCTGACCAAAACATACCACAGTGAATGTCTAAGGAAAAAAATGTCATTGCAGTAAAAGACAGATTGCTATTAATCACCCTCACATTACTCCCCCTCTCTTTGAACACATCTCTCTGAAGCAGTTCTGGAAGCCCTCTTTTGTGAGTGTCTTTAAGAGGTAAAATCAAAAATATATAGTAAATGGTGCTGCTGAAAGGCATTTAATGGAAAGACAGGCTTTTAAAACCATTATGGTGTGGCCTCATTCACCTTATTCATCAAATCTCACATCATGAGACTTCTGGCTCTTCCACAAAGTCAAAATGATTCAAAAACAAATAACATTTTGACTCAATTCAGGACATTGAGTCAGCCACAACAGTGCAACAAAAGACAGTCATGAAAGAGGCTTCCAGAACTGCTTCAGAAAGTGTCAAGAAAATAAAACATTGGTGTGAGCCTTTTCTTTCCTTCTTTTCCTTATTTGGCTATGGGTCTATTTTGTTTACTGTTTCAAAGAAGCAGCTCTTCAATTTATTGATTCTTTGTATTGTTTTATTGTATCAATCTCATTAGTTTCTGCTCTGATCTTTTTTATTTCCAGTATCAGTGTTGGCTTTGGACTTTTATTCAATGGATGTAGAAATGAAACAGGCAAAATCACAATGGATACCACCAAAATCTAAAAGATCATTAGTAACTCTATGAAAAATTGTACTCAAACACTTTGGAGAATCTTGAAGAAACAGACAGTTGCTAAGAACACATAAAACTGTGAACAGTCCAAAAACAGGCAATGAAATTTAGGCAGTAATAAAAACCTTTCAACTAAGGAAAGCCCAGGACCTGATGGATTCTCCACTGAATTCTATTAGACCTTCATGGAGGCTATAAGGTCAATACTACTGAAACGCTATAATGAAATCAAAAGGGGAGGAGTACTTCTAAATTCATTCTTAGGAGCTGGCGTCACTCTAATTCCAAAACCATCAAGGACCCAACTGAAAAAGAAAACTGCAGGCCTATCTCTTTAATGAACATATATGCAAAAATCCTCAACAAGATGCTGGCCAACAGAATGTAACAACTCATGTAAAAGATCATATATCACGACCAAGTATGTTTCATTGAAGGGATACAAGGATGGTTTAAAATATGCAAATCAATAAATGTAATACACCACATAAACAGAAGCAAGGACAAAAATCACAGGATCATACAAATAGATACAAAAAAGATTTGACAAAATCCAACATACAGTCATGATTAAAAACCCTGAAGAAAATAGATAAAGAAGGACTTTATCTTACTCTGATAAAAGCCATTTATGATAAAATGTCCAACAGCATATTAAATGGAGAAGAGCTCAAAACTTTACCTCTAAAATAAGGGCTAAGACAAGGATGTCCACTATCACCATTCTTGTTCAATGTAGTACTCAAAACTTTAGTGAGAGCAATCAATCAAGACAAAGAAATAAAAGGGATATATATATATATATATATGAAAAGAAGAAGTCAAATTATATTTTTTGGAGACCCTTTACATAGAAGATTCAAAAATTTCCACCAAAAGATTTCTAGAACTAATAACCAAATACAGTAATGTAGCAGGATACAAATTAACACAGAAAAATCAGTAGTGTTCCTGTACACCAATAATGATCTCACCAAGAAAGAAATTAGGAAAAACAATACTATTCTCAAAGAATCAAGAAAAATTTAATATTTAGGAATTAACCTAATCAAGGAAATGAAAGACCTGTACAATGGAAACTAAAGTACTCTGAAAAAGGAGATGGAAGAGGATATCAGAAAATGGAAAGACATCCCCTGTTCATGGCCAAGTAAAATCAATGTTGTCAAAATGGACATAATTTAAAGGTTAATATATAGATTTAATGCAATGACAATCAAAATGCTAACACCATTCCTCATAGAACTAGAAAAAAATATCCTAAAATCCATATGGAACTGGAAGACACCCAGAATAGCAAAACAATCTGGGCAACAGGAGAAAAGCAGGAAGCACCACAATCCCAGATTTCAAGGTATACAGTATTACAAAGCTACAGTGATTGAAAAACAAAAAAAGCACAGTACTGGCACAAAAACAGCCATATGGATCAAGTCAGAACAAAGGATGCAGAATACATCAGATACATTCAGCCACCTGATCTTCAACAAAGGGGCGAAAAATATACATTGGAGGAAAGATAGCCTCTTTGGGAAAACTGGGTATCCATGTGCAGAAGACTGCAGGTAGGGGCTGGGGATTTACCTCAGTGGTTCTGCTGCCTGCCTCGCAAGCTCAAGGACCAGAGTTTGATCCCTGGTACCAAAAAACAGAAGAGTGCAGCTAGACCCATATCTCTTACTTACCATGAGGTAAACTAAATATTTAGATCTTTGAACTATTTTGATTTAATACAGAAATATGTAACCTGGAAGATAAAGTAGGAAAAAACACAAAGTCATACGTGTAGACAAGGACAGAACCCCAACTGCACAAGAACACCAAGAATCAACAAATGGGATTATGAAATTAAGAAGCTTCTGCACAGCAAAGGAAACAACCAACAGAGTGAAGAGATAACCAATAGAATGGGGAAACATTTCTGCTGGCTATACCTCACAAGGACTAATATCCAGGATATATAAAGAACTCAAAATAATTATACCCCCAAATAAAAGACCCAATCAAAAACTGGAAATTGAAGTGAATAGATGCTTCTCAGAAGAAATAGAAATGTCAATAAATACATGAAAAACTGTTCAATATTTTGGCCATTAGAGAAATGTAAATTAAAACAAAATCAAAACTCCATTTTATACCAGAAAGAATAACAATCATCAAGAAATCAAGGGCCTGGGATTTAGCTCAGTGGTTCCGCTGCCTGTCTCTTCAAGCGCAAAGTCCTAAGTTCAATACCTGGTACCAAAAAAAAAAAAAAAAAGAAAAGAAAAGAAATCAAATAATAGCAAATAATGGTAAGGCTGTGGGAAAAAGGAACTCTTATATTGTGGGAAGGCACACTAGTACAACCACTATGGAAATCAGTATGAAGAGTCCTCAAAAAAAGCTAAAAATAGGAATTCCATTCAACTCAGCTATTTTCCCCTATAAATACTTTTCCAAAAGACTTAAAGATATCATATTACAGTGACTCATGCATACACATGTTTATATCAGCACTATTCATAATAGCTGAATCATGAAAGTGGCCTATATGTCCATCAACAGGTGAACGAATAAAAAATGTGATGTTTATACACAGAATACTACTCTGTCATAAAGAAGAATAAATTTGAGTCATTTGTAGGAAAACAGATGCACCTTGAAATGATAATGTTAAGTGAAATAAATCAGACACACAGTTTAAATATCACATGGTTTCTCTTCTATGAAAAACACAAAGTATAAATAAAAGCAAAAATAAAAGATAGATGAAAGGAAACAGAAAGATAAAACAAAGGGACCATGGGCCAGGGATTTAGCTCAGTGGTTCACCGCCTACCTCGCAAGCACAAGGACCTGAGTTCAATCCCTGGTACCAAAAAAAAATAAAATAAATAAAATTTAAAAATTAAGGGACCAAGAGATGGACAGTAGAAAGGAGGGGAAGGGGACTTAAAAAGAATTTTAAGATGTGTCAGGAACACGTACCAACTACCCACATTGAATATAATCATAATGTATCATAAATATGAATTTAAAAAAAAGAAAAAAATGGGGAAGGCAAATATATAGACAGAGGGAGGAGGAGAGAAGAGGAATAAATAGAATCAAGATATTAAGTACATGTACCTATTCTCTAAAATGAATGTAAATATTATGTACTGTAAATGTGTACTAATACATTTTTTAAAAGAACAGTGAGACAAGTGTTTGAAGCAAGAGGGATTAATGGCAATGTTTCTTTCAATGTAACAAAATTTTAAAAATTTAAACATTCAGCATATTTCTTAATCATACCTTGTATGAGAAAAAACGTGATACTTCTCTTTCTAAGTCTGGGTTATCTCACTAAACATGGCAATCTCCAGTTCCATCCAGTTAATAGCCATTTTTCTGCAAATGATATGATTTTGTTCTTCATGGCTGGATAATAATCCATTGTGTATACATACCACATTTACTCCTTTCATAATTTATTCACAAATAAAATAGTATTAAGAAAGAGTAAAACAATTAAGATGATTGTATAGTTTTGTTTTGATTATTTTGAAGAGTAAAAGATATAAAAAGTGCCCTAAAGGCATTACTGTATTTTTAGTCAAAGGCCCACTTCTATTTGAAAAAATATATCCAAATCCTGGCTGAGTTCTTGTAGCTTTGTTTAATTCTGGGATAAAGATATACTGTCACCATGTATATTTCTACTTTCAGTTATTAAGACTTAATAAATGATAGGGAGTTATCCCAAAGAGCATATTCAGAATGACTGAATGGAAAGCTGGAAGGACCTGTATCTCTGTGTCCATGACTGTGCCACTGAAATTGCCAACTTTGTGCCAGATTTACCTTCAGACTTCTTTTTAGGTGGCATGTAAATCATATTAACCTATCCAAATTGGATTTTCATTACCTAAAACAAGTAGTATTCTGATAACCAAATGATAAAATTATCTACTGACATAGCAGCCAGTAATTGATGGTGTACATTCACCCTTTACACATATTACTGCATGTAATTAT